TTTTGTATCACTTTCATATTTTTCCAACAGTTTTTCAAATTCTAATCCCGATGTGAAGACGCGACCAACCCAGAACATTTTATCTGCCATTTTATCTGTAAGAAATAATCTTATTGTTAAAAAAAATTTTATTGGTAGTATGTATCGTATATAAGTAAAATAAGTTATTATTAAAAAATTAACAAAATTAGGATTTTTGCTTATAAATGTATTAAATAATTATAAACAAAAAAAAGTTTTGTACAAATGTATATAAGTTTGTAGCATCGGACTTACCTTTGTTTAATATTTAACTGCGTAATAGTATAATAATTAAATTCTTTTCTTCTTACTATCCCCGTATTAAACTGTGAATACTTCTAATAAAGATAATAAACATCAGAGATGTGGCAAAAATGTAAACTACATGTTATCATATATGATTGGCTATACAGTTCGTTCGGTAAAAAAGAGTTTTGTATTTTAAAAGGCATGGACAACTAGTGTACGCATATTCATTTTTTTCTCTTCCGGTTTTACAATTGATTTAAAATTATGCAATTAAGAAATTGAACGCAATTTTTGCCAATTTTTACGAGAAAAGTGATGATTCCAATCAAAAGCTATTATGACTGGCAGCTTATTTGAAGAATAAGTTGATTGATAAAAAATAAAAGAAGTTTTTTTTATTAATAAAGAGTAACTCAAGAATTATATGAGGATTACGGTCACGGTATAGCAACGGATATCTGTGATTTGAAGCTTACAGTTACGGGTATCCGTGGATTGAAGCTTACAGTTACGGATATCCGTGGATTGACGATTGCAGTAACGTATATCCGTGGATTGAAGCTTACAGTAACGGATATCCGTGAATTGACGATTACAGTAACGCATATCCGTGGATTGAAGCTTACAGTAACGGATATCCATGGATTGACGATTGCAGTAACGTATATCCGTGGATTGAAGCTTACAGTAACGGATATCTGTGATTTGAAGATTACAATAACACATATCCATAATTTGAAACCCTCGTTTTTTCGTTTTTATTTTTAAATTTCTTTGGATTGGCTGGATGGATTAACTCTCAAATCTAATCAGATCTAATTTTTAATGAACCCTTTCAAATGACGTGTCGAAGAATTCAACTGGTTGATTCGTTTTTGAGAAAAACGTGGAGATCCGATGAAAACTTAACTTTCGAAAATCGAATCGAAATTAATAACTTCCCTTCATTGGAAAATTTTCAATTTTCTTAGCGGGAAGTTAAAAACAAAGGAATTAAAAGAAAATGCCTGTCTTTTGTTTTAATTAACTGGAAAAATTTTTATAAAATTAAATCATAAAAAAATGAAAAAGGGTTGATAAAATACAAAAAATAAAAAGTCTATAACCATCCATGGAAAATTCTGCGTCGAATGGTCGCAGTCCCATCCCGATAGATTGAGTAGTTTTGACATGATGAAGCGTCAGATAAAAAATTAACTCCACATCTTGGAGCAGCACGGTCATCTTTCACATAAATCTTCATGTATCATCTGCTACTCGCGACCCTTCAAATTAGAGATTTATTTATTTATTATTTATTTCTACAGTACTAATATCGCTATTAATATTATCACAATGAATGGTTAACGAGAAGTACATGTATCTATTGCTAGCTTGTCCGTCCGTTCTTTACAGGGTAAATAAGCATTTTCGTTTTCGAATTAAAAAAAAATAAAAAGCGATATTACTTAAGAAACAAACAATCGAACTAAATAATCATCGTTCACTTTAACTTATGAATAATATCATAAGTGTTTATAACTAACAATTATCGTTGCCTTGTCCTTTCTCATTATCACTAATTTGAAAAAAAAAAAATAAAGAGATCCTTGAATCAATAGAATTCAGCTCACGGATGTAATTGCACCTTGCATATGTATATTATACATATTAATATAAGACTAATATACGCATATTTTAGAATCATTGGATGGTTTTATGCGAGTACGAGACAGGAATCAGAAAAAATAATAATTGCTGCAAGATATAAAAGTTGCTGAAAATTAATGAAAAAAAAAAAAAAGATAAAATTGTTGTAACAACCCGTAGACAAGTAAATTGTTTACATTTTATGACACTGAAATTAGCAGATATGCAAAAATTTCTTTAGAATATTTTTAATTAACAAATGAACTAATAATAGTTTATATAAAAATAAAATTTTAAAAAATTGCATTGATGGTCTTCTAAAATTTCTACATATGGTTTTTTTCTTTTTCAATTTTCTTTATAATTATTTGTTTAATAAAAAAACTTTTAAAAGTTGTCAAATGCCTGTTTATTTCAATATCGTCATATTTTTTCTTCTTACATTTCAATTTTTTAAAAATATAACTGTATGTTTTTATAACATTCATTAAAATATGAATTCTTGTGTATCTGTCCAAAAAAGAAATCACCAAGAAGTGGAAAATTTTAATCTCAACATTGATTAACAATAGTTCCTCGAAAATGTCACCTCCAATATTGTAATTGTAATTGTAATTGTAATTTATTGAAAAGGCCGTAGGACGTAGTCCTCTAACGGCCAAAAGCATATACAGAGCATTACATAAGATCTTAAAATTAAGTACAAATCAATATAATATTGAAATAAAAAATCAAAAAGTGTTCATGAGCTATTATTAAACAAACAGAATAGATTCTTGTAATGTTAATGTTAATATTGATAGGTCTCTCAACGTCAATTTTATCACAGTAATATAAATTTAATTATTGAAGATTAATAATAATGCAAAAACAAAAACAGTCTACTTCTAGTCTTATGCCATATTGCACAGGATAGCAAATAACTAAATTGCACTAGGTCAAAAATACACACTTAGAGATCGGCACGCTCAATAGCTAATAAGTGTTTATAACAATTTGTTTTAAATATTGCTAGTGATTCAGCTGCTGTTATTGATGACGGCAAGGAATTCCAAAAGGAAGTTCCCAGAATCAAAAAGGAGTGTTATCTAAAAAAAAATATTAATCAGTATTCTTTGGGACATGCCCTTTTGGCATTAATAACACGATATAAAAACTGAGCTTCAACTTACGAATTTAAGATCTAATGCGAGTTTCAATGCCTGTTGAGCCAACTGAAACTAGACAATTTCAGACCAATGCGACTGTGCCGGGCAGGAATCAATTATTACTTCCCGGCGGACAGAAAATGACGAATTACTGCCCGCGAGATGAAGTTGCAGCTTTATTTTAATCCTATCAATTATTTGTTTATTTTATACCTTTTAATTGTCATTCTAACCGTTAACTGTACTGACATATTATAATTCTGTTATTAAGCATAAATAAGGATGACAAAATAAAACTATTCAATTTACGAATAATGTTTGATAAAAAATAAACTATTACTTTCTATTTTATTATAAATTTTATAATAAAATGGTATTTTCGCTATTCGTCTGAAACTATCTAGTTCTGGTTGACTCCAGACATTGAAACTAGCATTTTTAATGCAACTTATATGAAAAATATAATGTGTAACGCGGGATGAAACACGATTTCAGACCGAGTGATGCCAGCCCTCGCTTCGCTCGGACAGGCAACTTCACTCTGGTCTGAAATCGTTTTGTTTCATCCCTAGTCACACAATATACTATTGATTCAAATTTATAAAGTTATAAATAAAAAGAAAATATTAATGTTTAACTTATGTTTTATTATGTTATATGTATACAGTAACTCCGAAAGAACATTTATTTACAATTACTTATTTAATTTATAGTAAAATTAAAAAAAAATTAAAATAAAATAGTATATACTATAATATTAAATCAATTTTTAAATAATAAGAATAACAAATTAAAAATCATAAATAAAATAATCAAATTTTAAATTGATTACAATGAAGAAGCAATTCTTATTTGATTATAATCAAGTACAATTTACAAAGTTTTTTTTTGCCTCTTGTAACGATTAAAACGCTTTAAAATTCTATCTTGTACTCCCTGTGCCGGTGCTTTTCTTTTCATTCCACAGCCGTTGGAACCATTCATCTTCTTGGGAAGGGATGATATTTTCTTAATCGTGACTTTTATACCGACTTTAGACAAAAAACAACGGTACAGGGTATTCGAAAATCTTTTCAAACTTTCTTCGGCTTGATCAATTTTTGCATCATTAGGACTGGTGCCGCTACTAATGCCACTGTCAGATCCAAACTTTGTTTTATGTTCTTTTTCTTCTTCTTCTTCCTCGGAACTGCTGCTGCTGCTGCTGCTGCTGCTGAAGCTCGATTGTTTTTAATGCATCGGATTATGGAGGGACTGATTCCATCTCCAGATGAAGGAATTAATTCAATGGATATCTTAAATTCTTAAATTGAATAAAATTTTATAGTTTAATTTGAATTTTAGTCTGCCCAGAAATTTTTTAAATTATTTTATGTAAATATTTACGAGAATAAATGTATGCTAGACTTTTTTCTAAGTTCTATCAGTTAAAATATTTTTTTTTTTAATTATCAAGTTTCAATTTAATTTTTTTAAGCTTAATAAAAAATATACAAAGATTCAATGCCCTTTAAAATTATTTTTGTGTCAAAATCACTCAACTGTCAAAATTTATTCAAAAAAATTAATTGCTTGTGGAATTATTTGAAAGTAATATAGTTTCTTTTTTTAATGAATTCTTGAAAAGTTGGAAAATATTAAATTAAATTGGTTCAGTGGGATTATGAGTAACTACTCACAAAAAAAAAAAACTCATTAATAGTTGAACAATTAGCCTTTTGAATAGAATAATCATCACGAACATACTTTGGCTCAATTCCACTCGAATACTTTTAAAATACATATGATATTAAAAATACAAAAAAAAAATGTTAATCAATAAAATAATATTCACTAAGAAAAATAGGTAAATAGTAATAATGTAGATTTAAATACTACGGTAGGTTGTATTACGCTAATAATAATAACTGTTAATATAAATGCAACAAAATACGTACGCCATGGACTGCGGTATTAAATTATCAAAGTATTATTCTGAAATATAAAAACGTAAATATATATTTCTTTATGAATTACTATGTCAATAAATTTATTTTGTAAGTGGAAAAGTTTAACTATACTTTGTTACTTACCGGTAACAGCAAAACGTTGTTGTTATAGTAAACAACAACCCTGGATTTGTTTTTTTTTAACTTTTTAAAATTGGCAGTTGCGACAATTTTTTCGGAGTTAAGAGCGATGAATCTTAGAACATAGTCGAAAAATTTCTTACTATCAAGATGGCGGTCCATGAGAACGAGATATTTAACAGCATTTTTAATTGTTACGCATCTACAAAATGAATCTTCACAAAGTTCTTTCAGATCTGGAAGCTGATACTTGTCGGCTTCTACGTATAAAAGTTCAGCAATTTCATCAAGACCAGTTACATTCTCAGTATAAATATATTCCAACAATTTTTCACAAACTTCTGGATCCATGTCAGGAATAGTTATTTCATTCTCTTTGTTCTCTTTTAGCTGATTTGAGAACATGGCTGCAAACACTGGATTTCAGGAATTTTTTTGCCACCAACGAGCAGAACTACATCGCTACCTGCTTTACTCTCAAAAATACCCTTCATATCAATAATCAATTGGTGCGTTGGAGTTTTTATTGGAACTATCATTTTTTGTTCCGTCTCAAAAAATTCAGTAAGCTCAATAACTACTGTTAAGTCATTGTTAGGTAAAAAGTTATCTTTGTTTTCTAATAATTCAATTATTTCGAGGAATTTTGGAATGCAATATTCTTCAGACTTTTTCAAGACTTTGTTAAATTTGTGAATAAACCGTTTTTCATTTCCATTATCCAAAATATATATTGAACATTCAATATTTGACTCGGATCGCTCAGATAGCTGTAAAGATATTGATAACCATACCTTATTTTTCGATTCTATACTATTAAATTTTAATTTGAAATACCAAAAATTCCGATGACTTGAATATGTATCTTCTCGATTTGAAAAAGAAGATTAAAAAGTCTTAGAATCTGTAGTATAGCTGTACAGGCGAATCACTGAAATAAATTTCTCTATTTTTAACTTGTGAATGGATTTCGATTCTTTAAATAATTTATATTCTTCTGTTATTTTCAAATTTTCCATGTTGTATTGAAATGGCCCAATAAATTTGAATAATTAGTCAATTTACAGATCCTCTTGTATTAACTTAAATCTGTAAAAATAAAATTATTTACATTACTATTACAAAAGCTTAAAATACGAAAATAAATATGATATTATAATCAGCAGACACCTGACAGTTCAAATCATTATATAAAAAAATTTGCACATATAATTTTTTGTAATTTCTAAATTTGGAATTTTTTTATTTAAATTATTTCATAATAATTAAGTAGATTTAAAAATTCAAAAAAATAGATATCTGTTCATTTTACTATCATAAAGAAGTAACAAAATTTTACCAAAATGTAGATAAGTTCCAGTGCGTATATAGTAAGGCGATCGTTCTTTTCTCGAAACTGAAGAAGCAAATGTAAGCTATTCTTTTAGATAGAAGGATGTTATCTCGATTTGTTTATAAGTATTATTTTTTTATCAACCGGATATATTTATCTGTGTAAAATAAGTATATTTGTCTGTGTAATATACATAAGCACAGCTGATGAACAGGATCCACGTGAATAACTAATTTGTGACTATTGTGAAAATTATGTGTGAGTACTAACATAGGCATAAACTTTAATTGCAATAAATCATTTTCAATCACTAATTCTCAATAATAGTTGTTTAAGTTGTTTTAGGTTTGGTAGCCGGCAATGTAGAAAATATTCCTTCCATATTCCTCTATCCACCACCATCATAGCTGCCACCAGCGCAGTTTCTGATGCGCATAATCTCGCGCAAGTCTTTTGGCAGGCAATCGTGAATTAGTATCTTGTGACAAACCAACAACCCAGTCACCAAGACTCTTAAAACACTGGAAGAAAACTTAACCCGAAACAAATGTAAAGGTTTCATCTTCAAAAGACTCCCAATAATTAGCTCATTCAGAGACACCAAACCACAACAGTTTACCACTCACCAAAGTATAATGCATCCAAGATATGCATACTCATACTCCATCTTCCAGAATCCTTTGAATATTGACCTGTCCACGATAGCAACTCTTACTGGTATGTCCCGTAAAAACACAGCTGAATCTCTTGACAAAATAGCCGCTGAGAAATTTGAAAATTTTGTACAAGTTTACACAGATGCCTCAAAAACCCCCGGAGAACCCTACGTGGGTCTAGCAATCTACAACGCCACTCTAGACACACAACTGACGATAAAAATTACCCAACAAGCCTCAATAACCACAGCAGAATCACTGGTCATCCTCAAAGCCATCGAGCTAGCCCTCGAGATGGAAGAGAGGAAAACTGTCATATTTACAGACTCCAGAAACTCACTACAACGAAGGCTCCAAATTCACCTGGTTTGGGTACCCGGGCACGCTGGGATTCCTGGGAATGAAACAGCAGACAGGCTAGTCAAAGAAGCGGCGACCAGAGCGCCAAGAACGTTCACTCCAATTCCCTACAAGGACCTAACGGACACCAACAAGGACAAAACCACGAAGCTAACAATAGAAAACCTGAAAGAAATAGGAAAGACCAAAGGAGTCTTATACTTTAAACATATATACAAGGAGACAAAAAAGCCCTGGTTCGCGAACTTCAATCTGCCCAGGAAAGTTATAACAACTATCATCCGAGTACGCCTAAACCATTACAATCTCAACTCCAGCCTCCATAGGAAAAATTTCATAGACTCAGCTGAATGTCCCTGCGGATCCCCGAAACAAGACCTCAACCACATCTTCTTCAAATGCCCGACATATCAAGATCAGAGAAGAACATTAACTAAGACTCTTTCCAAGCTATACAACCCAATACCAGAGGATGTTACGACCCTCCTCCTAGCAGACCCGACAGATAAAATCGCCTACATACTCTGCAACTTCTTGAATAAATGTGAACTCAACATTTGAATTCAAGCAGACTGCGACATCTCTGAACAACCCTAGTATAGAAACCACAGAAACATAGACACCTTACTACTAAGTATAGCGGCCGAATGGAAAATAAAACTTCCCAGAGTCAGGAAAAAATCTAATCTAATCTAATCTTGTGATGATCGTAGAAAAACAATTTCAATTAATTTTGTGAATAATTAGTTGTTTACAAACTTTAATCTGATTATAAAAATATAATAATTAGATATATACCGACCAGAAGAAAAATGTCAATTATGACAGTGAAAAAAAGTTTCGGTAATAAATAAGAGGCTGGAAGTTATTCCCATTCAGAAAATCAATCAATTGTTTATGCTGGAATTAATTATTTATTTATTAAGTATTCAAGAATTCTTGAAATAATTATTTTTTAATTAAAAATAGTTGATATTGATAATATGAATGAAACATTAGCTGAAATCGAATAGGGTAAAAGACTCCATTAGTGGCGGGAACCCCATTACTGACACTTTTTTTGATTTTCGTACTTATTCAATTAATGAAATCATTAATTTTAATAATAAATACATTATTTCTAATCTTTAAGATCTTTAGATCAAAAAAATTTTTAATTTTTATTCCAAGTAGAACATTTTTTCATCGAAAGAAAAAGTGCCACTAATAGGGATTAAAAGTATCACTAATGGGGTCTTTTACCTTATTTATTTATTTATACAAAAATAAAAATTATTCAGTGTATTATTAAAAAATAAAGATCGCTTTCTGTCGAATTTTTTTCTATTAACTTTTTT